GGTAGCAATGCCCCCAACACAGTTCATGCACTCTGCCTTGGAATAAATAGCATAACACAAACTTTACGATCTGTGACCTCCAGAAAGGTGGCCACAGTGGTCAGTACCATACCCATCAGTGCACAGGAGCCACAGCTAGGACAGCCAAAGAATGATATGCTGGAATACAGGGAGTAGAGGCTTTAAGTCATTCTGCCACCAAAGCCCCAGCAATAGGCAGGGCAGCCCTAAAGACCTGACATGTCTTCAGGGTTACTATATTGATAAATAGGCACATGGCTTCCAAATACCCATACTAATCTCTTTAACCAAAGTTTACCTGGCCACACCCTGGGCACTCTCTTCTGAACATACTTTCATTATTTACAACACGGGGAGGTTGAGAATTTGCCGCATCTTTTAAGTTCTCCACCCCTTTTTATTATAAATCTGTCTTTAGCTTGATTTTCTCATCTCTCATTTTATTGTAAGTAGTCCAAAGAAGCTGTACGCACCCAACACTTTGTATTTCTCCTGCCAAATATCTATTTCATTCCTCTGAAGTTCTACTTCCATAAAGCACACAGACATGAACACAATTCAACCAAATTCTTTATAAGAATTGTCTTTCCTCTAGTTTTCAACATGTTATTCCCATCTGAGGCATAATCAGAATGGCCTTTACAGATATACTTCTACCAACAGTCTGTTCACTACAATTTAGGTAATCTCTAATTTCAGGCTTTCTCTATAGCTGTCTTTTGAACCCTCACCAGAAAATCATCCTTAAGGTTCCCTTCATAGCAATATACCCCAAAACTCTCTTGGCTTCTATTCATTACTCAGTTCCAAGCCATGTCTACATTTTTAATTATCTGTTATAGCAGCATCCTACATGTAAGTACCAATTTTTGTCTTCATCCATTCAGGATGCTATACTAAAGTACCTTACACTGGGTAATTTATAAACAGAAAACTGTTGCTTAGTGTTTTGGAGGCTGTGAAGTTCAAGATCAATGTGGCTACAGATCCAGAATCATTCCTTATAGATAATGCTTTCTTCCTGTAAGCTTCCTGGGTCCTCGCATGGTAGAAGGAGCAAAGGGTTCTCTCAAGCCTCTTTTGTAAGGACACTATTACCATCACCTCTTAAAGGCCCTGCCTCTTATTGTGTTCATTTTTTCCTATTTTTAAGACTTAGCATAGTTACCATGCAAATTTGTTAGCAAAGTAGGTCCTTTAAACACATAGATTCGCTGATAAATGGATAGATAGGCATATAGATGGTAAAGCAAATATAGCAAAATATGAATTACGAAATCTAGATGGCAAGTATTTAAGTACTCAATATACAATACTTTTACATAAAATTTTATTCACTATAAAATTCCAGGAAAAGAAAGCAGAGACTACAAATGAAGACTGAGAGGCTCATGTATTCTCCAAGTTTATAAGTGAAATGGTTTCATTTTAAAGAAAAAGAAGATATGTGTGTGCCTGAGAGTGGAAAGAACTGAACACATATTTGTTGCTTCTCTCTATCTCTAATTTTAGGACTGCATACAAAGACTAGTGGTCTTGAGCACTTAGTCTTACCTCAAACAAAGTACTACTAGCTAAGCTTTACTCATTCTAGGACAATGCAAATCTGCAGAATCAAGGCCCTTTGCTTATTCTGAACCATGATAATCTATTTCATATTTTATCTGAGTTTCTAACACCCTCCTTAAACTGACCTTTAGATGAAGAAACATCTAGCCAACCTGGTTTGGTTAGATGTTTCTTCATCTAACCAAAGGACGAACATTGTTCGTCCTTTTGTCCAGATTCTAGCCTTTCATTCTCAAGGTCCTCTACAACAATATCAAGGATTCTTGCAGCAGACCCTGGAGGAAACTAATTTCATCTATGTCATAGTGCTTGACCCAAAGACATCAAAAATGTTTTCTGGATGAAGGAAACTCATGCTTTATAATATTATAATCACAATTATAATGGGTGCTTAGTTTCACATTTACACATACATTGTGCTAAGAGAAGAAAATGTACAAGCTGGTTTTCTGAAATTGAATATTTAAGGAAAGATCTACAGTCTTTTCTGTAGAGTACTAATTAGAGGATGGAGCTGGAAGTGAAAGGCTGATAAATTCTTTTAACTAACACTGGGGGGAAAAAAAAAACCTATATTTTAATTATTAATGGTCTCCTGGATAATACCAGTAGGTTCATCAGCTTCAAAACACCATAAGCATGAACTAAAGGGGAGAAGATAAATTTGGTGAAGATAAGAATTGACAGGAATTCAATTTCCAAATGACCCAAATGCATTTGGAGCTCATGTGCTCTTTTCTGTTGTTGCTTCCAAAGGACTGCAGATCATGCACTTGCTGAATTTTGCCTTTGTCACACATGACCTAACAAGGAAGGCATTCATTATACCATAGTAGCTTCCCCTAAGTATCTGGTTCTAAACAGCTGCAAATTTTGGAAGGTAATACCAAATGATGTCTTCTCAAGTATGTTCTTTCATCAACAAATATTAAAACAAGTTTATAGTCTACTAGAATATAAAAACTGCAGAATTAAACTCAAACAAATTTAAAAAATAAAGTAGAAAATATAAGAAATAAAACTCTATTGTTAATAATTGACCCAATAAATATATTTTAAAGAATTTCTAAAATATAGCACCCTCATACTTCATTATATTTGCTTTTATCCATCAGAAAAATGCCATATCAATAATGACTTATTTATTCCTTTCAAATGCTGTGAATAAGATGACAAAATGTCTTAAAATAATTTTTAAGCCCAATCTCTAACTTCCATATAACCATTTATGAAAAGTAAAAACTGCTTCCTAGACCCAAATCTGCAAAGCATGGGTGAAAAACATCCTGCCAAAAGTAGAAACAGACTATAAAAAATGTTTCATAAGAGTTATGACTTATTATACAAAGATACACATAAGCTGGCTTTTTTTAAACCTGTCATTGCTCCTCAGTCACATCAGAATACACTTTATCCTCCATCTATTACATGTTCCATAAGGAAAAACAAAAACATCATAATTGCTAAGCAAAAGAGAGGAGGAAAATGCACTACCAAGGAATAGCTATAGTACATTATCATCAATTGTTTTAAAACTTACATTTAGTTTGATTTCCATCCCTTCCCATTTATACTAGGGACACAACAGAGCCATGTAGCCTGCCCCAGAAGGCTATTTCCTGTTAAAGACTAATGCAGGTGTTCCTTTTTGTACCTCCTTCATTCCATCAACACCTTGTGATCATCCTTTCATCTTAAAGGGGTAGGCTGATAATAAACACCCCCTTATCAACTGCTTTGAATTAATTCAGATGCCTATAGTCTTTGAAGTTCCAAAGGCTCAAACTGTATCTTTAGGACCTTCACTTAACATTGTCACCATACAATTCCTAATTTCTTAAAAGGAAAAAAACAGAATTAACAATTTTCAGTATTACCCACAACAAAGTCAAATTCCCAAAGTTGTGATGAAGATCAAAACAGGATTTATTGGAAAGCCATGTCTTATGAATGTCCCATCAAATCCAATTGTATGGGATTGGGGGCATAGTTCAGTGATGGGTGCTTCTTTCAGGAGACCTCAGTTCAATCCCCAGTACTTCCTCCAAAAAAATTCAATAGCAATTAATAGAGACAATTTTGCTTTTATTTTCTTCATTAATAGGCATGATATAACTTCCAGCAACATATTGATGCAAAAATCCAGAGATATTGTTTCATTTGCTTTATAGAGCAAATGGAGAGCAGGAAGTGTTGTAAAAAATAAAACAAAATCTATTACAAGTCAAGGTCAGTGAGGAAGGATTAAGGACTCCTACCAAAGCTTCCTGCTGAAAACATTAATTGTAATTATGCTTCAATTTCAAGTTGGCTACTTTTGAAACTAGATTCTATTTACATGATTCTACAAAGGAAATGATAAAAAGTATTGATTAGCTGGATCATCTGAAGAGGGCCAGTAGGGCAAATGACTAGATCCTGTTGCAGTCTGACCTCTTTTGAAAACTATGGAATAAACACATTAATAGGCAAAACAAATCACTTGTTTCAAAGCTTTGTAATTTCATATTTGAAAGCACTACTGACAAAATTTTAGTTACCTGTTCAGACAAGCAGTCCTGGGATATGTTATTAAGTTATAACCCAGTATTAGTAAGAACGCAAGAAAAAGGCTGTTGCTGAGTTATAACCATAGAAAACCTTCAATTATCCATAATTGATGGGATGGGGGATACACAGGGACAAGCTGGATAAATTAAATTCTCTGGTGATTATTACTTAAGAAGAATGTCGGATTAATTCAAAGTTCCCTTCTTTACTATATATAAAGAGTTCATTTAAGATCAGCTCTCCTTCCTCCCAAACAATCCTTAACAAAAATGCTAACAAGCAGGTATCTAGCCAAAAAAGTAAGACAAACTCCAACTGGCTCTATTTTTTTCAGCAATTCCAATCACCAACTATCAAACTATGAGTTCTAATTTTCTGAAAATCACTTATATTGAAAACCCCAACGTCCTCTCTTCCCCGCCAAAACCCTCCTACCCTAATTTAGATTTTTCTCGATCAAATGTATCTCTCAACTGTACTAAAAATTAGTGTTTGAACTGAAGTTTAAGCAGTTGACAACTATTACATTAAAACTGGAAAACGCTGATATCCGGCAACTTTCGATTCAAATCCACTGCGATTCCTCGCGTTGACAGAAGACCGAACTTCCTTTTTCTCCCCCATGGATCCTCCTGGCCCTCCCGCCAGCTAACGATCCCTCTCAGGGCCTGCTATGACATCACGGCCCCTCTCTGCAAACCCCTGACGTCACAGAGACGCGGACCTACAGGCACTATGACTTCATCGTCCACTGGCGCGGAACTGCAGTTGCCCTGCGCCAGCCCGGAGGAGCTAAGGAACCATCCGTGCCTCGGTCCTGCCCGGTCCCCGAGGAAGGTTAAAGATAAGCGCCAGCTCACCTGCGCTGAGGCAAGTAAGGGCAGAGTGGCCGAGCCCAGGCGGGCGCGACCAGGTGATGCGACCCCACTTCCTCACCGCCCAAAGGTAGAGCGCAGGTCGGGTGTCTGTACACGGCCCGATCCCGCTCCAGGGGCCCGGGACCCTGCTCCCACCCGCCGGCCAGCACGACCCTCAGAGGGCCCGCACGCGGGTAGAGGGCGCCCCGGAGGAGGCGCGGGCCACGGGTCCTTCCAGGGTCGCGCCGGGCGCCGC